TACACACTCACAGAGCCGAATCCATCTCGCTCGCGCGCGGTTGTCACCAATTTCACGTCTCGTTCACACCTATTCATTAGTGATCGGCTGTACTAAAGTGAACTAAAAGACCGATTTGAACGACCAAGACGGAATAGTACGTTCTCGTTCACTTAGTTAAAGGAATGGCTTCCTATTAGTACATAGTACATGTACTACACAAGCCTAGTTATGGCGTACCGCACATGCCGGGCGGCACGGCCGATTCGGTTCGGTTCTGGGTGTTAGTTAGTCCTGACCTAAATTAACTGGTGGATCTATTAATCCAGTCCACAATATCTTCTAATTACCAATAATTTACGACCTTTCAAAAGACTAGATAGAATGAAAGGTCTAGTATTCATTATATCTAAAAATTATTATGAGCCACTTAATTTCATAGGAATAGGATGAAAGCACTGACGACCGTCTGCCTCCTTAACTCGAAAAGTATAAAAATAACAGCTCATTCTATTTTTGTTAGGAAATATTCACAGTTACGAGTAATGTAATTTATATTTCACGATACGGAAAAACGCAACTTTATTTACTACTACTACTTTATTTTATAACGTATTTTAGTATTTAATAGGTATTAAAAATGTCTTGGTGTTATTAAAAATCTACAAAACATTCCGTCAAAAGTGATTTTATTTGCTTGTCAGTTTCACTAAACGCGCACAGGCGGTGGGCTTCAGGCGCGGCAGCGCGACGGCGCGGCGCTGGACGCCACCTTTCGGCAGTATTTTCAGTCTAGCTCCGAATCCACTTCCACGCCCACTTTGAAAGTTGGCATGAATGTTCTACACAATATTAGCTATTTAAATAAAAAAAATTAAAAAAATCGAAAGGGTCGAACTTTGTGAAAATCAAGGAAAAAAAATTAATTTGCATTTTTTTTAGGAAAAAATATTTTTTTTTTCGTTTCCAAAAATACAGTTAAAAAGCACGGTAAATGAAGTAATAAATCCCGTGGTTTAATTATTTTAATATATAATTTTATGACTCCATAATCGGCTTTGAATTACTGCATGCCAACCGGTTGCCGAAAACTTCGAAGACCCATAACTCTTAAACTAGTCATTATATTACAAAAATATTTGGTACACGTATCAATAATATGTATAGGTAGAACATACTCAAATATTACTGAAATCGGAAACATCGACTTTTTTTACCTGTCCGCTTCGCGTGGAATGCTCCATTGTTGTTATGGCGACAGACTTAGGTAAGATGGTGGTAGCTAGCCGGGCGGACTTAGAACACACAACTTAGCCCTACCACCAACCAAAACCAACAGAAAAATCTGCCTCGAATCGAACCCGGGACCTCGACGTCTGAAGCAGGTGGTCTTACCACAGAGAGGCGGTTGAACTCTAGACTCTTGAGTACTTTATACGTGGTTTTATAATTTAATGGGCCTGCTGAGCTGACGTGTTCCTAACTACCTAGGATACTTAGGAACCAGTTCATATTTTTACAAAAAGACTGATCTATTTCTAGACTCAGAATAACTTGATGTTTGGGGTTAATATCCTTTGACGAGAATATTACGCCCGTGTTCACAAACATTACTATGAGGTCTCACAGGATGACACATGAACCAATCACACGCCAGTATTCACAAACGCTTCCCTAAGTGAAGCAGCAAATCGAAAGCATAGCGTTGAATAGAGCTCTGTGATTGGTTCGTGTGTCACCCTGTGCGTGCACGCGCACTGTGAGACCTCATAGTACCTAATGTTTGTGAATACGGGCGACAGAGATCTATTCAACGCTAAGCTTAATTTTCACGGTATCCACCGTCTTACGAACTCTGTCGCCATAAGAAAAATGTTAACAGCATTGTTATGTTTCAGCAGTTGGAACTTGGAGAAAAGATATCCGGTTACTGTGGTAGAACATTCCGGGTGAAGCTCGCTTCCACCTTCAGGCTGATCATCACTTACCATCGATGCAGGCCAAGAGCTTCCCTGTTGTATGAAAATATAACAAACTCTTATTAGGCCGAGTTGCACCACCTAGACCGTAACTTTGACGATAGCCGGTGTTTTTTGTATGAAATTTGACAGATTTTTGACGTTTGTCAAAGTTAAAGTAAGATGATGCAACCCAGCCTTAATTATTTGTTTACATCAAACCATCGTCCATGGTAATTTAATTGCGGAAACCTGTTATCCATGGCGAAAACTTTCACTTGCGGTGCATCTTATGGCGATTACCGCGAAAGTGATGGCACAATGGCATGTTCCTGAGTTTTTAATTAAGAAGAACTGACGATCTGGTGAAGGTCTGGCGCCTGGATGCGGTAGCGCAGGATCGGTCATAAACTAAAAAATTCTCTTATAAAACTCATTTATTGCAAGTAGGCTTTTAAAAAGCACTTTTACACGTCCCAGTATTAACCCTACCACTGCTTCAGGACAATAAATGGGCCAGTGATCGTTGGTGAAATCCTGGGGGAAGGCCTTTGTCCAGCAGTGGACTGGACGTCATTTGGCCAAAACGAACGAACTAAAAATAAAAGAATGTTATTATATGCGTCAGAAACAGTGGTCAAGGTTATATTATGTCCTAGAGGGTTTTTATGAAATGAAATTAATGTGAATCACCCAGATATTGCTACATTAAGATAATAAAATTACCTAGTTTTCCTCAACTTTACGGAAGTGAAATTACAAAAAAATATTAAGAATTTTTCAGTTTTCCCTACAAACTATCCTGTTGAGATAACACCCGTATTCACAAACATTACTATGAGGTCTCACAGTGCGCGTGGACGCACAGGTGACACACGAACCAATCACAGAGCTCTATTCAACGCTGTGACGATTTGCTGCTTCACTTAAGCAAGCATCGTTTGTGAATACGGGTGTAAGTATCTTAGACTATATCCACCTCTCGTTCCCACCGCTGCAACTCCTGTGTAGCCAGGATCTACAGCTTGACCGCCAATAACCCAACCAGTGAAGGCCAAGTTTGTCCCGGGGGAATGTTACTGTCATTGGACCCGCAACGAAATCAATCAGCAGAACCTGGTATGTTGACTTTTTAACACGCTTTTATTAGGTCGTTGTGTATGTACCTAACTATGTAATGGAATCTAAGAATCTGAATTACACGCACTTCTAATTCTTGTATCATCATGAAACTTGGCAATTATGTGTAAATTAGATGACGATGCAATATTATGGTATCATCGAGCTGGTCTGATAATCGGACTGGACGGTGGCCATAGGAAACTCCTAAACGAAACTTTGGGTTCAGTGATTTTGTCTTTTAGAGCACTTTAGTGCTAGATGATGTCCAGAGTTCTGATGATGGAGTTGACCAAAGCCTGTTTTTAGTTTTTTAAACTATTGATTTGAAAATTAAATATAAATAATTTTGGTTTTGATTTGATTTTGATCAAACCTTTCAAAGAATGAGTTTAATTAATACACAAATGCACGCAGTATTAGTAAGTATGACGATAAAATATATCTCATTATAATAATTGGGCGTTTTTGATGCGCTTGCGTAGACCTGACGGCTTTGACGTCATCCGCGGATGCACCTTCAGGTTCGATGCCCAGTGGGAGCTATGCTATAAACTGACTAATAATATTTTTTATTGAGTGGCGACTGCGGACCGGAAGACTTGTACTAGGTGTTGGCTTTGTTCTCATTCGGTGAACCGACGATCTAGTGAAGGTCTAACCAATAATATTTTTTCTCAAATGGCTACCACGGACATGAAGACGTGTTGTATAGACAGGGATCTCACTCGGTGGAACGACGATCTAGTCGGTCGTTATGGAACTTCTTGGAGAAGAGGTAACCCAGCTCAAGCCAAGAAAAGCGACCGCAGACTGGAAGACGTGTAGGTGTAGGCAATGTTCTCACTCGGTGGACCGACGATATAGTGAAGGTTATCATAGAAATTATTGGAGAATACCTGAATAGGTTAAGCATAAAGCCCACTGTTTTATCACGCCCACATATTTACTTATGTAAAAATCAAATCTATTAATATGATTTGATTAGAATAGGTAACCAAGTTGAAGCCAAGAAAGATAACTGGGAGTAGCTATTACAAGATTAATTTAAGGAAACCTTATAAGCAATTTTTATATCATCATCATTTCAGCCATAGGACGTCCACTGCTGAACATAGGCCTCCCCCAATGCTTTCCACGTTGATCGATTGGTAGCGGCCTGCGTCCAGCGCTTCCCTTCATCCATCCATCCATTTTTATAACTTCTTGGAAAACCACACATCAAAACACAAGGTGAAAGTTACAAAAGGTGTACCTATATTTTTATCTATTACATAATGAGGTAATTAATTAAAAACTAGGTAGGGTAGTTTCCCACAACAAACTTAACTTTCCCCAAAAAACTACTTAGTTAATGTGTGCCGATAACTCATTCTTATTCTCAACTAGCGGCCGCCCGCGACTTCGTACGTATGAATCCCGTTTTACCCCTCTTAGGGGTTGAATTTTGCGAAATCCCTTCTTAGTGAGCACCGTTCTAAAAGGAACCCCCATGCAAAATTTGAGACTACTAGCATTTGTAGTTTGTGAGATTTCGTAATGAGTGAGTCAGTCAATTAGTGACCTTTCGCTTTTATAGATAAAGATGACTGGATTTCAAAAAATAATTATTGACCCCCTTAAAATGCACTAACTAATACAAAGTTTCACGCTTGTTCAACACAACAAACGTTACTAAATTACTGAACTGTTTAAAATCATTAAACGTAATTACGTACAGGTTAATGTTTTCATTAATCTTTGTTTTGGTACTTTCCAGAAAGATATCGAACGTTGTGCAAATAAATGGATTAATCAATTAATCGCAATTTAGTGTCATTAATTACTCATTCATCAATAAAAAAATTACTAATAGCAAACTCATTATTAAAAAAAAACAATTATTTAATCTGTCAGCTGTCGCATCGCATCCACTGTGCAGCGGTCACTCAAGGTTCATTCTTACGACACCTCCAATCTTCGCGCAGTTGTAGTTTGCTCGCGACGTGGGCCGGACGTAGTGGACAGTGTGCAAATTGTGTGTTTTCTGGAAAAAGTCTTGGTGAAAAATTTTCGGTGAGTATTTTTTTTTTGTTAAAAATTTTTAGTCAATGCGTGAAAAATATTTTTTTTTAAACATTTTCATCTGTCTCGATAAAGAGCACACAATTAAGGATTTTTTCTAATTATATTAAATCATGTAGTCGAAATATTTTTAAAAACTATTTTTTAGAAAAATATTTTATTATTATTATTATACTTTATTATGATAAATCCACTCTTATACCTACTTATGCATTTCTCATTCATCCTGAAAATAAGAAGGAACTTACGAAGGTCGTTTCTACCAGTCAACTTAGGTAATGCACGGCTACATATCTAGTACTTACTAATATCCACAATTAAAAAAATATTTAAAAAATACAAAACAAACAAAGTTTTAAATAGGTTACGGGACTATTCCCACCTCTCGTTCCTACCGCTGCAACTCCTGTGTAGCCAGGATCTACGGCTTGACCGCCAATAACCCAACCAGTGAAGGCCTAGCCTATCTATACGTTATTCTGATGAATAAACAAAATCCGTTCAGTAGTTTTTTGCGTGAAAGAGTAATAAACAGCCTTACAAACTTTCGCATTTATAATATTAGTAGGATAATAATTAAGGTAGCAGGAAGGCGCTGGATGCAGGCCGCTACCAACCGCGCGATGTGGAAGTCATTGGGGGAGGCCTATGTTCAGCAGTGGACGTCCTGTGGCTGAAATGATGATCCCATCAAAAACAATACTTGTCAAAAAAACCAAGTCTCGCAACTCAGTTGTTCTACGGTAAAAAGTTGTGAGATCCATGTAATACCAAGTCCAGGCCAGGAAATCTTTAACGTTTTACATAAATTATTGACTTGGCCATCGCACTAAATAATTTAATTTACACGTGTTTTCATGCGATGGCCAAGTCAATATATTTATGTAAAACGTTAAAGATTTCCTGGCCTGGACTTGGTATTACATGGATCTCACAACTTTTTACCGTAGAACAACTGAGTTGCGAGACTTGGTTTTTTTGACAAGTATTGTTTTTGATGGGATCTCATTTCTTTTTGTATTTTGTAGACAGCAGTTATGTATCTAGAAAACTGGACCGAAATTGAAAAATTTTACTCGACTTGGCGGTTGCACTACCGTGCCCCCAAATATTTTAGTTTTTCCTTGATTCATACACCAAACACTACTTATATTCCAAATTTGAAGCTTCTAGGTCTGCTAGAAGTGCCTTAGAGTTTTGATGATCGGTGAGTCAGTGAGTCAGTGAGTCAGTGAGTCAGTGAGTGACAAAATTAAGTAACTTTGACCCGTTATAATTCTTAAACTACTGGTTCAAATTGAATGAAATTTTAAATATACCGTGTCTTTACAATGCTTGCATAGCTAATGAAAATTCAGCCTTCTAGTTTTATGCACAACGAAGTTACAGGCAGTCGAAAATGGCCTGAATTGCTTCGAGAAAAGGATGGTACGGCCGTGCCGCTTTTTTGCTCGACTTGGTGGGGGCACTGCCGTGCCCCCAGATGATGATGAATAGGATATGAATTACGAGAAGATTAATTTGTAGAATTAAGAATAAATTATTTTAGGAGGTGACAAGAACGTAATGACAAAAGTAAATAAATCAATTCACATCTTACTGCGAAGATGTTCGCACATAAGTTCTAAAGCAAACAGAATAAAACGTAGTAAGCAGACGTTGTTTGGACTGTTTTATAACCGACGTCAAAAAAGAGGGATCTCGATTCAATAGAATGTTTTTTTTTGCATGTATGTCAGTACCTCTAGCATGAACAACTTTCGTCTTCGAATCGTTTGCGTACTCGATAAAATTCGATACTCAATCTTCGAATTAAACGATAACGTGACAATTTTGATTCTCAAAATAAGTTTTGTGCAACCACATCTCATAGTAAGTTCACTTTACGACACGTTCACAAGGGCGCTGTTGTAGTTTTCTTACTAAATCTTTTGATGGCGATTCGAGTACGCTAACGATTTGAACTCGAAAGTTTTTCGTGCTAGCCGTACAGCAGACTTCGTAATTTTGAAAAAAATTTTTTTTTTATTATAGTGACCTAAAAATTTTATTAAAATAGGTTCAGCAGTTAAGTTTTTGAATCAAAATAACTTTTTTTTATACTTGACATTTTACACTGCGCCTCTAGTCCCAAACTAAGCAAAACTTGTACTTCTTCTTTTCGTGTCGACAACACACCTACACAGTGTCAGCCCAAAACTCCGCCACAAGAGTGGCGTTGTCAGCAGCACTCATCAAAGTTTGTACTATGATGGATACTACAAAAATTTACTACAAAATCATCGTCAGGTCATTCAATCTCCACTGCAGGAACATGACCCGCTAATTTACCAGCAAATGGAGGATTCGTCCTACACTCCCCACGCTGGCCAGACGGGTTGGGGAGGCTTGATGCTCTTAATTTGTCCCTTACGCCCGTATTCACAAACATTACTATAAGGTCTCACAGTGCGCGTGGACGCACAGGGTGACACGAACCAATCACAGAGCTCTATTCAACGCTGTGCGTTCGATTTACTCAAGCAAGCATCGTTTGTGAATACCGTCGTTTGTCGCTTACGACAATCTATGGGAAGAGTGGTTGCATACTGTATGCCTGTGGCTTGCCGGAACTACAAGTATAAGATAACAAATCCAAGTATAATCGTATAATTAACAGTGTCTACCTACATAAGGTGATAATTTAAGTGTCTCAATAGCTAGGCTTGGAGCAAATGGGCTAGGGATGTTATGGATATGTAGTTTCGGTTATGGAGACGGTTACGGATATAGGAATAATATTATACAGTTTCGGTTACGGTTACGGATATTTTTTATTTCGGATATCCGAAAGTTTCGGTTACGGTTACGGATATCTGTGCTTTAGAATGCAATTTGCAATAGTTGTCCAACACGGTTCATTCATGGCCGCACACTTTACATCGAATAAAAAGTACTTAATAAAAAAATAAAAATTTATACTAGATGGCATAATATTTTAAAGGTAAGTCAGGCTGTTATTTCTTTACATATTAAACAAAAAACAAAAACTATACAAAAACAATTTAAACTGCCTACATCCGAAACTTTTGAATCAGTTACGGTTTCGGATATTTTTTTATTTCGGATATCCAAAAGTTTCGGTTACGGTTACGGATATCCATAACATCCCTGCTTCTTTGTACGGAAATAATGACCATGATCCGTATATTCTATTTCCTACAATTTTTCATAATTGCAACTAAGTTAATCATGAGGAAAATACTTCGAAATTAGCTAACAAGTGTAGTTCCTGTAGTTGACAACTGTTAAGTGTCGGACATGTTGATTTGGATTGCGAAATATAGCCTCTGAGCGCGGTTTATAAAAGACTAAACGCGCTCGTGTCCTTTCCAAAAATGGTTTCCAAAAATTATTGTAATTATGATTGACAGGCTAACGACTTTCTATACATCCAATCCAATCTAAATTATGTAAAAAGGTAACAAACAAAGTTACCTACTTTCGCATTATGATAATACATACTAACTTTTGCCTGCGCCTTCGCACGACTTGAGTCTGTCATAGAAATTATATCAATAAATATGGTGTACAGTTTTATTAAAATCCGTTCAGAATTTTTAATCTATATATATAAAAATGAAACCCGTTTCGCGTTGTCACGGCATCACGTGTAAACGGCTGAACCGATTTCGATAATTCTTTTTTTTAAATGTTTGTGGAAGTCCAAGGATGGTTCTTACGGAAAAAAATATTAAGAAAATCTCTACGCTAAGGCGGTACGAAGTTCGCCGGGTCAGCTAGTGTAAAATAATACCAAACATCCTAATAAACTTTCACATTAAATGGATAATGTGTGTGTTAAAAGTTTTTCAAACTAAAATGTACACTACCATCTACCTAAGGCAAATAAACATGTTTTTCGACCAACTATGGCAAAAGCATGTTTTTGGTTATTGCTGCCCAAAAATGGTGGCGTCGGCAAAACTCGTTTGTTGTGACGTGGATCCCTAATGGCGAACTTGATTATTGATCGAGGTCAGTTAATTGGCTGATCGATTTGAACGGGATTTGATCGGTTAAATACCTTAAACTGTCAGTTAATGCAAAGATTACTAGTCAAGTTGTTCCTGCTGAGTATGATAGGACCATTCCTACTAAATGTCGTAAGCGACTAAGGGACAAATATGGCCGCCCCGACTCGTCTGGCCAGCGTGGGGAAAGATCATAATAGAACACTTCTCTTTCTGTGGATGTCGTAAGCGACTAAGGGATGATACGAACATCCAGGCCTCCCCAACCCGTCTGGCCAGCGTGGGTGTGCAAGCCAAATCCTCCATTTGCTGGTAAATTAGAGAGGGTCGTGCACCTGCAATGGAGACTAAATCACCCGATGATTATTAGGCAAGTTGTAAACAAATTGCGTCACATAAAAAACAACTTCAAATCACGTAAAACAAAATGCGCACGTAAAGAACGACAGCGTTTTATCATACTAAACGATACGAGTGTAGTTTGTTGACCACAACCTGGGCCTCGTGACAGTTACATTATGGCAGAGATTAACTACCTAATTTTAACTAACTGTTTAATAACTTAGTGATAAAATAGCTTTTGCTCACGGTGAAAATTGGTCTGTTGTCACAGAATATCACGTCCCCCTTTCTTGAACTAAAATTAAAAAAATACTTACTACCCAATTGTATGCCTGTGGGCTGAGTGTGAGTTTATATTAAACGCGCTCACTAAGCGCGTTTAAAAAATTTATGAAAAATTTAGTTTTTGAACGTTTCCGCTAGGGGCGCTGTACTATCCGTCATACATTTAATGACATTTTTTGACGCGCTCGCGCGAAACTCGCATTTACTTAGTGTGAAACATAGGATACATTTTTAGAATAAGTATTTTTTATCCCAGTTTTAAAGGTCACAAAAGTAATAATTTCTGCAGGTGTAGTCGTAGTTATAATAAAGTCTGGTTCACCAGTATCTTCCCGAAAATGATACAATCGT